GCCCAGAAGTCACTTTACATTTTATGTTTGCCTTAAGTTCTTGAATAGTTCGGGGCTTATTTGCATACACTTTGTCTTTAAGATATCCCCAAAGCCAAAAGTCCGGTGCTGTCAAATCAGGAGAACGTGGAGACCATTCAAAATCGGATTTAAGAGAGATTATCCGATCCTGAAACATTGCAGTTAACAACTGCATTGTGGCTCTAGCAGTATGTGCAGTTGCTCCATCTTGTTGCCACCAATACCCTGCCATGTTTACTAACTGAGGTTGAACAAAATTCGCTAGCATGTCTCGATATTTCTCAGCAGTAAAATTCAATTATTAAAAGTAAAAATTCAACTATCTTCACTCGTTGTTCTGTTGTAAACTTATCCATGCCAAAAATTTCCAGGGATTATATTTTTTAATTCTGAAAAGAGAAAAAGAAATATATTAATAGAAAAAAAGTTATTTAATTTTCAAAATGTAAAGTGACTTCTGGGCCACCCTATATATGACTGCACGGATTTAATGTTAAATTTTAATTTGACAACGAATTGGTTAAGATGTATTTACAGTTTCATTTACCTCTTTTCCGTAAAGTTATCAGTGTGTCGCAGAAACCGAGATTTCGTGTGAGTTACATTGAATATTCTCTAATTATGCTCTTTCTATTATAAAAATATGAGACAACTTGACAAACTAGTTTGTCATATCATACCTACAGCAGTGTCTGAGCCTGTTTTCAGTCATTTGCATGCTGTTTGTGACTTTCTCAAACATATGTGGATCCACGAATTAGAACAATTTTAGAGAGTACTTGTCATTGTTTTGAAGATATTTCGCAATAAATATCTTCGCGAAGATATTGTTACGGATTTGGTATTTAAATAGCTTATGTTAGTTGAATTGTAAATTAAATGGTTTTATTTCCCGCGCAGTGCAGTGCGTAAATTAAAAGAAAGCTAAGCCGGAAAATTGAAAATACAAGAGTGCGTGCATGTAACATTCAATAAATATCTCTTTTTGATTTCGAGAAAGTACTAGAAAATTCTCGCGCGCGGTTTTAAAATCTTATAAAAGGAGGAAAACCTCTCAGTTCGTGGTAGTACTTACTAGTTTGTTGTTGTTTAGAAAACTGCTCTTGTTGACTGTAGCGAATTCGCGGATTAGCTTTCTTTAGCTGTTTTGAATTAAGTTCTCTTGAACGTTTGAGTAGTTAAAAGATAACTACTGTGAGATATTGTAATACTGCACGAATATTTTAGGAAATTTAAGCATATTTGTTGTGATAATAATAAATTTTTGTTAATTTTTCATCGGACTTGTGCATTCATTTCGTAACGAACACGTACGCACGCAACAATCTGAATTCACCTAATCTGAAGTTTCGAAATTCAAGTCACAAGTGCTCATATAGTAGTAATAACAAGTAATTTGTCACTGTTTTGAAGATATTTCGCGATAGCTATCTTCGCGAAGATATTTTCTTTACCTGATCTGAAGTTTTGATATTTAAGTCACAAGTGCTTAACAGTAATTTTAAGATAACAATAATATTTTTATCCAAGATAGCGCTTATCGAAATCATACGTAGAAGCAAAATGCACATTGTATTATGATTTGAATAAATATTCCGCGGTTTTGATGATTACACCAAGTAAAGATAAGGGAGTTTTAACCGAAATGAACGAAAGATGGAACAATGAAAAAAGCATTCGTTCGATTTGTATTTTGTAAATTTAAATGGTAGATACTAGATTTCTAACAATTCCTTAAATCTGTTTATGGTATTATTGATTTATCGTTAAATAAAAAATATACGGAAATCAAACGTTTATTAAAATAAATTCTGTTTCTCTAACCTTGATAGGCAAATTATCACTCCGTCTTAGTTGAAGTACTCAGGAGATGGAATACTATAACTCAGGAGATGTAAACTAAGCTTTTTATTGTACCTTAAGACTACGGCTAGCACTAGACGTTTTGATCTTTCTTGAATCCACATGTACGATTTTTTTTGGTCTGCCATCTATACGTGCGGACAGAATAAGACTCATTTTTTTCGAAAACGGATTATAAAATGGATTAAAAAAAAGATCCAGAAGGAAATTTTTAAATTAATATCTGTGCGTACATAGGTATGTATGCATGTATCTCGCATGATTAAAAATCGAATAGCTGTAAACGTTAAAATTTTATATATATAAGTGCTATGACATTTAGTTGTGCACCTCCCTTTTTTATTGCGAAAGGCAGTAACAAAAGTATCCTGGTGCAAACTCCGTGACTTCAAAATTCCGCCGCCCAGTTCCTTCTTAAATTCTAAAGATTTTGCCGCAATTAATTCTGCCACAGAATCAATTTTAATTAAGTTAACACACAAAACATTTATAATAAAAGCACACAAACAAAATGTTTCGTAAAGGCATCTTAGTAAGAAAACTGAACATTGATGTGCTGAGCTAAGGAAAAACTGGGAAAAAAAAAAAAAAAAAAAAAAAAAAAAAAAAAAAATACCGCTGCATCGGGAATTCTAAACGTATATTCCTGTGCTGCCTTTAAAAATTTTTCAATTTTGCTGAATGTTTTAGACCTTAATTTTTTGTAATTTTTTAAATATATTTCCTCAAAAAAAAAAAAAAAAAAAAAAAAAATCCAAGATAACTACTTGAAACATTATCTTCAAACAACTACAATACTTGAAAACATTGGTTCTATTACATTAATGACGTTTTCCCGCAATACTCCTAATATTAAAAGGAAATACAGCAGTACTTAACGTAAGGTAGATTTTGTTAATTTGAATTACCCTTTTTAAATAGACCTACGCCTTTTTAATTCTCCATAAGAACTATATAATTTCAAGTTAGTAAATGCCGCATTTTTCTAATGCAAATACATTATTTAAAAATTTGGTGATTTTATTTGAAATTTCTTTAACATGTTTTAAGTATCAAAATTATTTAATAGCATTCAGTTCTGAAGTGGGGATACAAATTTAAAATAAAAAAAAAATCTGATGTGCACACCACATGACTTCCTTGTATTGGAATATTAAATTGGAATAATAAATTATACGCATTTTTTCTTGCACTTCATTTAAACTTATTGGATTGAATTAAATCTACTTCGCGGACAGCGCATAAACCACAATAGAATAAATGCATTCTTTCAAATTCACTCTAATATTTGTTTACCATAGCGACACTCTGGAGCTAGATTCACATAACAGTATTAATAATTATATAACAGTTAACTTATATAATAATTATATAACGGAAACTAAGTTAACTGTTATATCATCCAATATTTATATAACAGTTAACGTATATATTTCGTTCATATTATAACTCAGAATGCACAAAATGTATATCATTTAAAGAATTATCTAATCGTTGCCACATGTTCTATTCAAATACTATAATAAAGCTAGAACTATGTATAAAAGAAATTAAGCAAACAAACAAAACAAAAACAAAAAAACAAAAAAAAAAAAAAAAAAAAAAAAAAGAACAGTTTTTCACAGACGATTGAGTATTTCTCATTGAATTGATTCAGTTCTCACTTCGCGAGAAGGCAAAAATACATAAAAACTCAAAATATCTATATTAAAAATTACGAAGTAAATCTCAAACAAATTCGAATTCTTTCGAGGAATTCCAGAAAGAATTAAGCATCATTTAATTGGCAATAATAAATGTATGCGTTATCTTTGTTTTTGCGAAGCTAAGTTTCTCTAGATTGGCAACAAATCCACTAGGCTCCTCTTTCAAATGTAAACATTAAAAACAGGCTTAGCGGCAATTAAACAACTTTAAAATTGCTGATAATTCTAAAAATATTGCACACAGATTTACTAAAAGCATAAAATACTTACCCGGAAGATAAAAACAACATAATTCAATCATTTTTAAAGCAAAAAATGTACAATTTACAAACATATAAGAGTAAAGAAACTGAGATCACTGAGCCGGATAACAGAGTGGATATATATCTAAATATATTTATATACGTTTGGAGCGGCCGATGGCAACCAAAATACGAGGTGCACATCTACATGTTATAGCAGTCCTATATATACAAAATTTCAACGTTCTGAGGATACTCGTTTTTTGAGTTATGCGAGATACGTACGTACATACGTTCGTACAGACGCCACGAAAATTCTCTTCAGAATTAATTTTAAAAGCAGTTTTATAATTTTTTTGAAAAGAAAGAGTATTTTATTCTGTCCTTACGTACAGATATCACGCAAAAACATCGTTAAATTGCATTTGCTAGCGGTGAAAATGGATATTTTCGTTGAAATATGCTGCCTGAAACTTTTCGCGATTACAATACTTCCTTTTTACTTCGTACAAGGAAGTAAAAATAGCTGTTTTGAATTACAAAAATAGAAGCTTTATCTCAACAGGCTATTTCTCTAATTTTAACAATGAAAGGTTTTATAAAATAACTATTTTGAGAAGCAAATAATTTCAAGTGATTGTAAATGACATTTTTTTTCGTTATGAAGTTTAATACTGAAATAAAGAATGAACAAAATGCAATTTTGAGTTGTACACAGAAAAACGTACACTTAATAATGACTGTAAACGAAAGGTTTGGCTAATATTCGCGAGAGCCTTTTGAATAAATGAGAATTCACTGATATGAGTTAAGCATTGGCAATTTAGGCTTTACTTTTTTGTTCGATGTCTTTTTATTTCAGCAGGAACATTAACGTTTGCATTATTGAACGAGGGCATAAACAGCCTAGATAAATTTTCATTTCTGTTCAAAATTGGTTCATAATAATTGCCACTGAATGAATATAAAACGCTCATGCTTCCTTTAGAAGTTACCAAAAAACATTTTACGCAGCTTAATAAGTTGTAAAATTGTCGTTTGCTAGTACGAAAATACATCTTCGGAAATTATTCTTTTCTGAGTAGAGCCAAACGTAAAACTTCGCCAAGACTTGGCGATCGCCAGAATGTTTAAGGGAAAGATCAGCTTCAATTTGATCTTTGAATTTCATACGTGTTTCCGTCGCTATAGTAACCAGACGAAGATGAATTTCAAAGCACGATCTCTACCGGCTCTGACTATAATTTTATTTATAGCGCTCGGTTTTTGCGAGAGTTTCAATTTGACTATTCTTCATACAAATGATGTTCATTCTCATTTCGTCCAATTTAATAAGCACGGTAACAGATGCACTGAAAAACTCGCGAAGGAAAATCAATGCTACGGTGGTTTTGCACGTCAAGTATCAAAGGTACATGTAGTTTTAAAATTATTATTACTTATAAAATGCTCTTATTTTATACATTTACATATAATTGTATCAGCTTATATATAATCTAAATATTAATATATTATCATTAGCGAAAATAATGGCTGTAAACTGTATCAAATTTTCTAAAAAGCGTATAAAAGAAATTTTGTTTTAGGGTATATCAAGAATTTAAAGCTAAATGCACATTTAAAAATTTCATAAATAGTATGAAGTAAACGAAAATAACATTTTCACTCGAATTTTTCTTTCACGTAAAAATGTTTTATACGTTTGGTCTTTGGTGTTACTGATTTTGCACGGTATAAAACAGTTACTTTCTTATATATATATAATAGTGAACCTGAAAAACTAATTTTGTGCATTTCAGGTAAAAAACAAGTTATGTAAATCAAGAAACAGGAAACAGAAAGAGAAAATCTAAAATGTTTCAGATTTTAATAGTCGTTCGAAAGAATTTCTTAAGGTATTTTACGCTCTTGCAGTCTACCAGACTGTTAAACTCACTCCTGTTTACCTACTTTTTTTTTTTCTTTTTAGTTTTATTACTAAGCATTATTTTGTTCGCCCTTATGCCATGCACAATTCAACAGCAAAATTACAAAAATTTTAAAAGCAGCATAGCAATATACGTTTAGAATTCCTGACGCAGCATAGAAACAGATAATAAAATCGAATTTCAAAATTCGGGCTTCCAGATGCCCATGTTCGGGTGGAGGACTAGGTTATTCAGATTTTGATGCCTCTAGGTATCGTTTTTACATCACAATGCGAGAAACACGCATACGTTCATGCAGATTCTTCATTATTGAATTTCTTTAAAAATAAAACAAGGCGATAATATTTGGTGGCAATTATTTTAAAATGTGATACAACGTATTTAACTTTTTCAATGTAAAATGCTGTTTCAAGACTAATATCCAGTAGGAAGTAACGTCAGATTTTTGCTAAAAACATAGCTGATAAAAGTGAATATATAAGATTGCACTGCCTCAAGAGTGATACATATAAACACAGTATATGTAATTATGCAAATGAAAGTAATATACTATGCATATTAACTGCCCGATACCAAAAGTATATGATACCCAGTATACCATAAATGAGTATATTATGATCATACTGCAACATAAGTGATACGTTTAATGGTATATATGTAAACGGAAAATCATATCATGTATGTAAATAAATTTTTAAAAAAATTCTAAAAGAACCAACTTCGTAAATTTTCATCTTTTTATAGCCTTCTGCAGAGTTAAATGGCATGATTCGATTTTTACTTCCTTGTACGAAGTAAAAAGGAAGTATTGTAATCGCGAAAAATTTCAGGTAACATATTTCAACAAAAGTATCCATTTTGACCGCTAATCGAATGCAATTTAACGATGTTTTTGCGTGATATCTGAACGTGAGGACAGTATAAAGACTCGTTTCTCCTCCTCCAAAAAATTATAAAACTGCTTTAAAATTAATTCTGAAGAGAATTTTTCGTGGCGTCTGTACGAACGTATGTAAGTACGTACGTGCGTGCGTACGTACGTATCTTCTCGCATAACTCAAAAAACGAGTAGCCTCAGAACGTTGAAATTTGTATATAGGACTGCTATAACATGTAGATGTTGCACCTCGTATTTTGGTTGCAATCGGGCCGCACCAAACGTATATAAATACTATATTTATATACATATCCACTCTGTTACCCGGCACAGTGATCTCAGTTTATTTACTCTTATATGTTTGTAAATTGTACTTTTTTTTGCTTTAAAAAATGATTTGAATTATGTTGTTCTTATCTTCCGGTTAAGGTTTTTATGCCTTTCGTAATTCTGGAAGCAATATTTGTACAATTATCAACAATTTAAAAGCTGTTAAGTGCGGTAAAGTTTTAAATAACATGGCGGACATATTTGTTTACATTTGAAACAGCAAATTGTAGATTTGTTGCCAATCTAGAGAGACTAAGCTTCGCAACAACAAAAATAACGCCTTCATTTATTATTGCGAATTAAATCATGCTTAATCCTTCTGGAATTTTTTCGAGGAAATAAGTGTTTAAGATTACTTAATTTTTAATAATTAGCAATTTAATTTTTAATAATTAGTAATTTTTAATACAGATATTTTGAGCTTTTATGTATTTTTGTCTTGTGCGAAGTGAAAACTGAATTAATTGAATGAGAAATACTCAATGTTTGCTTAATTTCTTTTTTACATCGTTCTAGCTTTATTATAGTATTTGAAAAGAACATATGGCAACGATTACATAATTCTTTAAATGATATACATTTTGTGCATTCTGAGTTATAATATGAAGGAAATATAATACTGTTAAGTGAAACTAGTGCCAGAGTGTCGCTATGTTAAACAAATAGAGTGAATTTTAAAGAATGCCTTTATTCAATTGTGGTTTATGCGCTGTCGGCGAAGTAGATTTAATTAAATCCAATAAGTTTAAAAGAAATGCAAGAAACAAATGCGTATAATTTAATATTCCGTACAAGGAAGTCATCAGATTTTTTTAACAATAATTTAACCCGTTTTGTTATTGGGAGCGATTTTCAGAATTACCTTGTTTACATATGATTTTAAGCAACACTGGTATTATTTCTATAAATAGTATTACATATCGACTAGTGTTACAACAAAGGCATTTATTCAGATTACGAATGCTAATACTAATTTATTTAACTTTTAATTAATTTTATTGAATTAATTTGATGATAAGCTATATTAAAAATATTTAAATAAATTATTAAATATTTTTCGCTTATCACTAACATTTTAAAAGCGACCGTAACAAATTTGAAACTTTACATTAATTTGAAAAAGAAATGCTTGCGGATTAATATATTATGCTAATTTGGGCTATTAATTAGCATAATTAAAGCCTTTGGTCTATTGATTATGCTAATTAATAGCCCAAAGGGCGTTAGCCCAGAAGGTTTTAATTAAAGGCTATTAATTTTGTTTTGATATTTTGCCATGGTTCATTATAAATGTCGGTTCACTTTTCAAATTGTTGTCACCAAATATTAGAGCCCTGTGTAATATTTAAAGAAATTAAATAATGAAAAATCTGCATTAAACGTATATATGTTTCTCGCACTGTGATAAAACAAATGGTACCTAGAGCCATCAAATCTTGAATACCGTATGTTTCCACTCGAATATGGGCATCTGGAAGCCTAAATTTGGAATTTGGTATTTGTTTTATTGTCTATTTCATATTTTGAAAAAATTTAACGAATTTTTGATTAATAAACTCAACGATTTCAAAGCGAGTAATGGCAACACTGTACAGAAAAAAATTTTTTATCTCCGGTGGGCGAGACTGTTTATCGGAAATTCTAAAGATACGCTCATTTTAAAATTATTTTTCGATATTGCTGTTGAATTGAATTTTATGGTTTAAATGCGAAGGACGTGATATTTAATAAGTAAAGGTAACACACAAAACGTTAAAAAACGCTCCTTTGGACGTAATTTAAAATCTGAAAGCTTCCAGATTAAAAAAAATATATATATGCTAATTATTATTAAAATACATTATGCTTATGTATATTGACATACATGTTAAATATATTATGCTGACAGTACGCTTATGTATATTAACAGAAATATGCGCACGTGCGTATTCGTCAAATAATGTTCAGGAAAGGGATATTCAGAAGATATCAAAGATGCACATTGCACGTCATATGTAGTCATTGCCGTCGAATTAAAAATCTATTAAGTTCTGTTAAAAAACGAAAGCAAACATAGGGAAAAATATCTGAAAGCTTTCAGAATTTATATTACGCCCAAAGGGGCAATTTGCATACATTCTTGGATTTTTTTTTTAACGTTAAGGGAGCGTTCTTTTTAACGTTTTGTGTGTTACCTTTATTTATTAAATATCACGCTTTTTGCACTTAAATTATAAAATTCAATTCAACAGCAATATCACAAAATATTTAACAAAGCATATCTTGAGAATTTTCGATACACAGTCTCGCGCGATGGAGATAAAAATGTTTTCTTTCCCTTAGAGCAGGGATGTCAAACTCATAGGTACACTTGGGCCAAACAAACAAGGTTTAACTTTAGGCGGGTTGGGAAAAAAAAATCAATATTCATAGAAACGTAGATTTATTTCGAATAATACAATAATAACATATATATATATATATATATATATATAGAAAAGAACAAGAAAAATTTAATGTTACGTCCTGATACTTGACAAACATCTCTTCTCTGCTATTATCTTTCCTATTCGGAGAAATTTTGTTTGCAGTGATACTTTCAACGCTGACCCAAGGTGAGCATCATTAATATTCTAATAGGAGACTTATTACCTTTCATGACTGAAAATAACTGCTCGCACCGATAAGTGCTACCAAACATGGAAATAATTTCATATGCGAATTTTCGAGTATTTCAAACCTGGCTGGTAAATATTTGTAAAATTCAGGCACGCCCAATTCAATGAATTTTGCTTTCAAATTTGAGTTGCATTGAATCTCGATCACCTCCATTTGCATATGGCTGGGTACTGAGTCAATACTTATTGAGAAAATCAAAGAAACAAAAAAAAATTGTCTTCGAGGGAACAAAATCATTAAACCTCGTTTCAAATTCAGTTGTTAAATTTGCAATTTTTTCTGCGTATTTTTGATACGAACAGGTATCATCTAAACTTGATTTGTTCATGCTGCACGTCGGGAAGTGCGTCAAATCTTCATTTTTAAGTTCTTTTTCCCAAAGAACTAGTTGACATTTGAATGCTTTAATTTATGTCAAACATGTTCGTAATGATATGATCTTTTTCCTTGTAACGATAAATTTAAATCGGTTAAGTGTTTTGGTTATATCAACCAAGAAAGGATAAATCTTGTATCCGATATTGGATCGTAAAAGCAAACTTACGTCTTGATTTTTCGTTTTTAAAAACTGGACATATTTCTTCTTTCAAATCCTGGAATTGTGTCGAGAATCTTGGC